GGTACCGACCCGCCACCGCTACCGGGAGCGCCTTACTCCTGCGTTTTCTCTCCAGGCGCCGCTGCCGCTTCTCCTCGCGCCGCCGCGCCTCCTCGGCCTCCTGGTGCTGCCGGCACTTGTGGAAGTTCTCCACCACGACACCCACAAACATGTTGAGCACGAAGAAGCTGACGATGAGCAGGAAGGAGATGAAGTAGAGCAGCATCCAGGGGTTGTGGTTGGGCACCGGCTGTAACACATGAGGATACACGGGCCCTGCTGCCCAAGGGTGGCGCCCAGGGACAGCCACGCACCGCAGGGCCCCTTGGTGCTACAGCCTGCAGGGCCAGAGAAGGGGCCCCATGGTATGAAATTCTCCAGAAGCTCTCAGGTGAAACACGGCCTCTTGGAGGAGGTTCCTTGAGATGACCCAAAGGATACCCCAAGGGTCTGCTTGAAGGGCCAGGGCTGCCCGCTGCCTGTTGCCCGTACCTGCTGGTCTATGCCCACGGCGTCCAGCCCATCATACATGATGTTCACCCAGCCGTCCTTGGAGGAGAGCACGAACAGGGACATCAGCGCCTGCGGGGCCACAGCAAGGGTGGTGGGTGCTTACTGCTTACCGCGGGCCTTTCCTCCTACCCTGGAGACCCCACAGGCCTCCTGCACAGCAGACCCGCCCATGGCTCTGGACCCCTATGGTCCCGCCATTCTGTTCTTCCAGGAGACCAGGGTGAGGCCATCGAGGATCACTTGGGGCCCAGACCTCAGGGGACCCCAGGTCTGGCCCTGCCTCCAACCAGCCCCATTCCCCTCCCCTCCCAGTCTCACCCTCACCCTTCTCACCTGGCCCAGGTTGTCGAAGTTGTACTTGCGCCGCACCCAGCGGTAGTGGGCAGCCTGGCACTCTGCCCTGGTGGATATGTTCCTGGTGTCGGTGCCCTCGCAGTAGTAGAACTTGCCCTTGAAGAGCTGACGGGGCAGACGGTCACCCAGAGGGCCGACCCAGTGACCCCCGGCCCATCAGCCCCCACAAAGGGCCTCCTGGGGCAGAAGGGTGAGGGGCGAGGCTGGGCCTTCCTAGGCCTAGGCCACTGCTGACCACAGATCACTGTGTCTCGGACAGGACACCCATGGACAAGCGGGGCCGCCCACCTGCACCCCAAGGATGCCGAAGATGATGAAGAAGGCACAGCAGATGAGAACGATGTTGCCGATGGGCCTAAGAGACGATATCAGGGTCTCCACCACCAGCTTGAGGCCAGGAGCACGGCTAATGACCCTGCAAGGGGCAGAGGGGCCTGCTGTCAGCCATGCCGAGGGAGTGGCCACTGTGCAGAAGGTGCAGGTCACTCAAAGACCCTGCCCCCACTCATCTGTCCTTGTCCCCTCTCCTGGCCCAGCCCCTTCCTCCCCTGCCCATGCTGCCCACCTCAGAGGCCGGAGTGTCCGCAGCAGGCGCAGCACACGCAGGATGCCCAGGATCTTGGCACCACCCGCAGAGGCCATGGCCACGATGATGTCGACCAGGGACACCAGGACCAGCAGCCCGTCCAGCACATTCCAGCTGCTCTGCAGGTAGGCATGCTCCCCCGAGACCAGGCCTAGGGCCACCACCTGTCCAGGAGCAGGAGAGGAGGAGTCCAGGTCTGATGGGCTGCAGCAGATGGGATGGGGAACAGGGTCACAGCAGATGGGAAGTGCTGGGCAGGAGGGGGTTGTGAGGCCAGGGGACAGACCCCTGGGCTCTCCCAGATAGGCAGGTACCTTCACCATCATCTCAGCCACGAAGATTGCCGTGAAGATGTAGTTGGAGACGCTGAGAAAGATGCGCTCCTGCAAGGGAAGGGTGGTGAGAGGGGCCACTGTACCCGAGACCCACCCTGCCCCAGGAGAAGGGGCCTCACGGTGCTCCCGGGATCGATGTCTGGCCTCTCCAGGGCGATGGTGATGCAGTTGAGAAAGATGAAAACCAGGACGACGTGATCGAACATCTTGTGAGCGATGACTTTTTGGCAGGAGGCGCGGAACCTGCGGGGCGAGGGCGCTGGGCACGGGGTCTGAGGACAGCCCTGACCAAGCCTTTGCTTCACCCCAGTCCCCAGAGGGCAGGTGTGAGACCCTGAGGCCCGGGAGCTCACTAACTGGCAGGGAACTCGGGGAGAGTCTCTCCCAACCCAGGGCACCCTTTACCTGTTCTGTGGGGAGAAAAGGTACAGCGACCAGGGCTCACGGTTCCGACACCACTCGGGTTTATAGGGCTCCAGCACCTTGCGCAGGCGTGAGCAGCAGCTCTGGGAGAGGGTACAGATCCCCAGGCCTGTCCCAGCCATCCTTCCATCCCTGGGGTCCCAGCTGTCCCAGTGGATCCTTCCCATGCAGGCAGGGGTGAGTGACCCATGCTGGGAGTCCACGGGATCAGACAGCACCCCACCCTCCAGCTGCCCCGTGCCTGCAGGACTGTCCTAGGCAATGGAGTCAATGCCTCACTGAGAGGTGGCCCTGTCCTCTCCTCCACCCTTGACCACCAGTGGGTGATAACTCAGGGCCCAAAATGGCCCTCAGCTGGAGGTGGGCTGACCCTGGGGCCACTCCAGCTCCAAAGCTCCCAGCTGAGGCCCGTCAGCTGGGTCAAGTCCTGCTCAGCTTGTCCACATCCTTCCCTTTCTCCTGAGATCCCCCCCAACCCCCACCCCACCAAGAATGACATTCAGGCTCTGCTCTGGGAACCACGCGATGACAGGAAGGAGGCATGCGCCCTGATGCCCACTCACATCCTCCATGTCATCGTCAAACTCGGCTGGGTCCTCCTTGTGGCTGTCTATGCGCAGGAAGAACTCGCTGGGCAGGGCCAGCATCTGCCCGTTGCAGTCGTGGAGCTTGGTGGGCAGCAGGGTGGCTGGCCGCAGGGGCTGCACGTCCAACGTGCCGCGGTGGTCCAGGGACTCAGTACGCCGTAGTGGGGTGGCATGTGTGCAGGGTGAGGCTCCCACCTTGGGCCTGCCATCCTCGGCCTCCTCGTCTGTGCTGCCTTTGCCCTCTCCGGACAGCAGGGACTCCCGCTCCCCGCACTGGCTCCGGCGCTTGAGGCTGGGCGCGCGACCCAGGCTGTTCCAGCTTGAGCGCCGGCTGCTCCAGGCACTGTTGGGGCCCCAGTGGGTACATGGAGAGCTGCGGAGGCTGGACTGCAGGGGAGGGGGAAGGAAAGAGGGGGGCCAGTCCCCAAGTACTCCTAAACATCCCAGGCTCCAGGGCATCCAGCCGCAGGGGCCTTTCCCCAACGGGTCACCCTATGGATGGGATTTGTATGTGAATCACCACCATCACCATTAACCCATGTGAGTGGGATTTATACACGCAGACCATCCTGCTAGGGGGAGGCTAGCGACACAGCTCATCCAGGGGGATGCCTGAGTTGTAGAGCAGGCTAACTAAGAGCTGGAGATACAACTAGCAAGTGTTGCTGGGCTGGGGCTGGCTGCTGTGCCCACTGGAGGGCCGAAGGGCAGGCACAGGTCATCAGCGGGCCTGGGACCAGCCCTTGACCCATCTTCAGACACCATCCCAGCTGACCTTGATCTCTGGGGTGGGGCCCCAAGTCAGTTTCTAATTTGCAGACTCTGGCCTCGTAAACAGAAGTTTGGCTGATGTCTTATGAGATAAACCGACTTCGATCCAGGGACTTACCCTGCTGCGCCCATCTTCTCGGCCGGTATTCATGTCACCTCCCAGGTCTAGCACAAGCTGAGATTTAATCCTGCTAAACCGTCCCTGCCCCCTCCCTCGTGGCTGCAGTGCATTTTGTAGCTAAGTCACCTGGCCCATCCCAGGCTCACCTGGGTGTCTCTCTTCCTGTTACCAACAGGAAGATTTCCTCCGTGTCCTACCCCCCTTTTGTTGTTAGCTTGTCCTCTCTGCCCATCCCTCCTGCGCCCTTCCGAAGAGCCATTTTGGCTGTGTCCCTGGGGATGGCATTTCCCGGTTTGCTTGAAAAGTCCCCATGGGACACTTGATCCTGACACACAGACCCTCCCCCTGGCCTCCATCACGTTTCCTGTACTGTTTTTACAATTTTTGCCATCTCTTTTCCGTTTTTCCTTCTGATCTACACTCTGCCACCTTTCATCTTTTATCGCAGTTTGGACGATAAACTTCCTGCCTGACACTTTACCAGAGAAAAAGAATCAGACGTGCACTGCCACGTCTGGTCTGTGCTCCTCCCGTTAGCATAGCAACTCCCGCTCCATTTACAGAAATCAAAGCGCTCAGGGCCAGGGACTCAGGCGGCAATGACCGGGCAGGGGGGAGAAGGG